TCCTTCTCAATGTACTACAACTGTTGTTGAATGATGCAATATTTTATTTGCATATGATAGTCATTATATTTTTCTGTAATTCTCACAATCTGTTGTCACCTTTATTTAGAATGGGTATAAATTTGGATTTCTTCCAGTTGGTTGGCCAGGTAGGTGTCTTCCAAATTTCTTGGCATAGGTGAGTGAGTGCTTCCAGTGCTTCATCAGCTTGCTGAGACACTTCACTTGATATTCCATCAATTCCTGGAGTCTTGCTTTGGGATAATGCCTTCAGTGAAGCTTGGACCTCTTCCTTCAATACCATTGGTTCATAATCATATGCTACCTCATGAAATATGAATCTCTATTATTTCTTTTTGGTGCATTGATTCTTCATTCATCTTCCATCTTCTTCTGATGCCTCCTACATAGCTCAATAGGTTTGTTGAAAAAGGTATAACAACGTTTGTTTGTTTATTTTTAATTCCAAAGAGGTAAGCTTGGTAGATTTTCTTGAAAGACACAATATATTCATGAGGATTTATTATTTATTTATTTTTGACATTGTCAAGGATTTCATTTTATTTGAATCCAAAATCAAAGCCCATGGAAGCAGTAATGAAGAAAGCAAATGACATATTGCATCTTTAAAGTGGTAAAAAGTCAAGTTGTTACTTTGAAGGCTAATGTGCACCTGAACTAAGAGGGTCTTTTTAAATAATATATAACATTTTTTTGTGTTTTCAGTGAAATGACACAGACCATTCGGTTTTAATTTTAAAATTTCTATACAACTTAAAACATTTAGTTTGCTTATTTTAGCAGTGTCTTAGATACACAAGTCATGTATCAAAAATTTCAAAATAGTTCAATCACATTGATTAAGAGGTGTACAAACATCACCACGATCAATTCCAAGGCATTTACCCTTCCTTGTTCTTGCTGTTGCTAGCTCTCCGTTCCCTGCCAGCCTCTCCTGTCATGCCCCCTTGAGTTTATTAACCTGGTTGTTGTCTCTGTTGGTTTACCTAATCTGGTTGTCATCGACAGAATAAAGACAGAATACAAACAAACACCCCAATAACAATGGCACAGTGAAACAGAGAAAGACGAAGCAGAAAACATTAAAAATCTGGAGCAATTATATTTTGAATCAAGGGAGATCAAGGACAAAGTCTCATATTTTGATCCAATTACAAGTGCAGTAATCCACCCTTCTAGGTACTCTGACTGAAAACAAGGTCTTTCCCATGTCTGGTCCATATGCAGAGGGATTTACCAGAGGTCTAATCTATGTGGATGACACTGCAAACGGGTTTGGGCTTTTACTGTCTTCTTCAGCCTTCTGTAAACGAGGCAGTTAGAATGTAAGCTCCAATACCAGTCCCTCCTCCTGGTTTGGCTTCTATTTTTACACTTCTTGGATCACACAGGCTTGTGTGCATCTTTGTGTGGACTTAGCTGGCAATGAGGGTTTATTATCAAGAAATATTAAGAAAATTAAAAGTTGTACTGGTGAGAAAAAAATTGCACTACAGGATCCCCGCCCCCATCATAACTGCATGTAGTCTTTGTTCAGGGGTCATCAGGATTTCCCCCGTGAGAATTTTGTTGTAAAACCTTACTCTATCCACACTACATGAGCCCTGGTGGTGTAGTGGCTTACATGCTAGTGTGCTAACCTCAAGGTCCATAAACCCAACCCACCTGTCACTCTTCAGGAGAAAGATAATGGTTTCTGTTGCCATGTAGATTTACTGCCTCAGACACTTAAAGGGGGCAGTTCTAGGATGTCCTTTCAGACCACTATGAGTCTGAATGTAATCGATGGCAGGGAGTTCTTCTACCTTTTTTTAAATATCTACACTACAGTCCTGATATTGTCCTTGAGACTTCCTTTACAATCCTTAATTAAAGGAAATGACTTGCAAATCAAAGAGTACAGAATAATTTGGAAGAAAGATCAGAGTTATGGGAACAGCAGTTCTGAAGTATATAGACCTAGATGGAGGAATTGTCCACAAACAATACCTTTACTTTTTCATATTATTGCTTCATAAAGTTTCTATGATTTTTGTAGCAATAATTTTTGAATTATCCATTTATATTGTATGTATAGAAGCCCTGGTGGTCATGCATTGGGCTTCTAAGTAGGAGATCAGCAATTATCCTCCATGGGAGTGCTCCGTGGGAGAAAGATGAGGCTTTCTCCTTCTGTAAAGAGTTGCCCTCTCAGAACCCCACGGGGGAGTTCTACCCCATCCTCCAGGTTCATCATGAGTCAGAAATGGACTTCATGGCAGTGAGTTTGATTTTTGGTTATTGTATGTATGATACAATGTAACTTTAAAATATGCTCATTCCTGTACACATGCCTCAAGGTTTATGTTGGTTATGACTTGACTTTTTGATATTTTTAAAACTGGAATCACAAACAACAGAAGCATTTACTGGGCAATGTCAATGACGAAACAATGACCATTGTGATGGCATACCTTTAAATGTCCTATGTTAAGAAAATGTGCGAGGAAAACACAGAAAAGTGAATGTGCATCATATCATATGAATGCGAGTGGGAAAGAACGTTTTAAAATAATCTACAAATCCCTGTAAGTATACATAAGGAACAGGAGTAGTAGTTTAGCAGGTATGAAAGACAGTACATACATTTTAGAGGTACAGAGGAGGAGGGCTTGACACTGAATTATGTAAGACCGTTTTTATCCGTAGCATAATAAAGCCAAATATTCAAGTATAAAGACCCCATGGTAAATCAGGTGCCTGGGGCGGAATTAAATGGTTTCTTTATCCTCAGAGCACAACCAGGAGGTAAAGCAAGTCTGTTTCATTTCATTTCCTGCTTTCGCATTTGTGGGTGGGGAGGTGAGTGGGTGGGCACATTATCTCCAAAGTAACAAGATAATGAGGGGTGGTGGTGAAGGTCAGACACCAGTGTTCTTGTGTAAAGAAGGCAGTCTCAACAGTGGGTCTGGTCTGTTCAAATGCCTTGTCTATGAGTGTGTGTAGCACTTAGTCAGCCTCATCCAGGAATGAAGTTATAAACCCAAACATTTAGTATTGCTCAACAACTCAGAGGTAGCTTGAAAAATAGTCACCAAAAAAAAAAAGATGTTAAATTTCAATAGTTCTCCAAACTATTGGCTATCTCTCTTCTGCAGTCCCTTAGCATCCTGTGCATATCTCCATAAATTCAGTAGCAGTACAGGAATGTGAGCAGAGCAACATGTTGAATACGGCTTGTCAAGAGTGGAAAGTCACATTATTTCCCTGAGTCTCTTTATGTCTACCATGAACTTACATAGCTGATACGATTGATCTACTGACACAAGGTGTATATATCATGAGCTATGTGTAGTGATTTTATTAGTGCTTAATAAATAATAGTATTAATATCAGTGGTTAAGGGCCCTGTTGCTAACCAAAAGCCCCCACATTTTGAACCCACTCACTAGCTACTTGTGAGAAAGAGTAGCCTTTCTGCTCCCATAAAAAATTTCAGTCAACAGAAAAGTGGGTGAAGGGAGATGTCGGACAGTGTAAGACATGACAAAAATAATGATAATACATTATCAAGGGTTCATGAGGGAGGGAGTTTGGGCAGGGAGGGGAAAAATGAGGAGCTGATAGCAAGGGGTCAAATAGAAAGCAAATGTTTTGAGAATGATGAGGGCAACAAATGTAAAAATGTGCTTCACACACACACACACACACACACACACGAAATGTAACTCTAAGGAAGAATAAATTATTGAAAAATAATAAAAGAAAGAAAGAAAGAAAAGAAAAGGCAAATAAATTCAGTCCCAGAAACCCACTGGGGCAGTTCTACCCCGTCCTATAGGATTGCTTTGAGTCAGCATCAACTCAACAGCCGTGAGTTGCGTTTTGAATAGCCACTCAGTGTGAGAAAGACGAGATAATTTGCTTCGGTAAAGAGCTTTCAGATTTAGAAAGCATATACAGCGTAGCTATGTCAGAACCCACTGGTTGACAGTGGCTTTTTCCGACTGGCTCACTATGAATAGGAATCGATTAGATGGCCGTTGGTTTGAAGTCGGGAGAAGAGCGGATATCTTTGGAGTATGAGGTTGAACATGAGGTATATGATGGTTAAATATACCAAAGATGCACAACAGTTAAAGCCCTTATGGACCCAAGGTGCTGAACCCAATCTTGAATAGTTCTTATCAGTATGACCGGGGAGATTTTAAAAAATATATATGGTTTTATTAACTCAGTTTTAGAGATTTATAAAGCCATTATAGCAGAGCATGGAGTTTTTTATTACTATCTATTTTATAGAAGTTCTGAGAAGCTTTCTGCTCCCCTAAAGGTTTATGATCTTAGAAATCTACAGAGGTAAGTAGACTCTGTCCTTCCTGTAAGTTTGCTGTGATAGGAATTGGCTCCAGGGCAGTAAGGTTTATATATATATATATATATTTAAGTGTATGTGCTATTTATATTTTTATATTTAAGTGTATGTGCTTTAATCAGGAAAAAAAAGTCACTTAGGAAGACAATTTCCTAGAAAAGGGAAAACTGTAATGGCAGAGTTACAGTCATTTATTTATTTTCAATACCGTGATTCCCAAGGCCATGAGAGTTTCTTGGACGGAGGGGAAAAGAGAGGTTGAAATGGACAAAGAAGATTGGAAGATGATCAGGGAGCAGAGGAGCCTTTTACACCTGCAGCTCTCATGAGCCTTTGGGACTCCCAAGAGTGGTTAATAAAACAGAGGAATGGAATTAGGATTCCTCAGAGTTTATTTAAAAAAAAAGTTAGATGCAAGGTGACTTTACCTTCTCAGGGAGACGAGAATTTCATTACAAAGTTTCATGGGCCTAGGCCTCCCTGTCACTGTACTGTGTATTCTGCATTCTTCAATATCCAGAACTGGAAGTGGCAAGACATGAAATTCTTCAGACAGCCCCAGTTCTTCTGTGTTAAGATACTTAAAGCAATACTTCCCTTTAAGTATTCTGAAGGAAGCACTTACCTCCATATGCACATTCTGGAGTGAAAGAGATGTCATCAAGGGCAATAACGATGTTCTCATTCCCACCAAAGTCAGCTTCAAATGCCACCTGAAATGGGCCGTTGCTGGAGAGAGGGGCGTATCCATACGTCCACCCAGTTCTTTTATTTCCAATCACTGACCACACCAGAAGAGCAAGGCCAGATTCTTCAACAGTGTACACCTAATAATGGGAAAAGCAAAGGTAACTATGGTTTAGGTATTAGAGGTGTACGAACATTTATCACATTATTCCTGTGCCCACATGTGTAACATGAATATGCATCTAATGGACATGGCACCTAGCAGACTGATGTGCACGTTGCATGTGTGGCATGTTGTATGTGTGAAAATATGGTAGATGTTTGGTTAATGAGAGAAAGTAGACCCTGTCAATGTGGCAGCTGAATAATTTGAGTATAGTACGATCCAATGATTGTAGGGTATAAACTGAGCCCATGAATGTTATATAGTCTTTGGTAACTGGTACTTTGGTTGATCATACCAACTTTTATTTACCAAACTGAGCACGATTAAAATAAAAGAAAATATAACTGTAACCACCCCAGCATCTGAAAGACTGGAGACATGAGAAAGGAGAATTTCTCAATGATAAAAAAGTTTGTCTATGTCAGACACAAGGTGCATTCCCGGGGAAAGAGAGGAACCTTAAGTGGCAAAGTAAATAAATCAGTCATTTCAGAAACCAGAAAATATTTAACATCTTAACAAATGAAAAATTCTTTCTGATTTACATGCAGCAATAGTCACAAGTTTTTAAAGTGTAACAACTAACAGGTTGAATAAGTAAGAGGCAAAATGAAAATTTGTATCGACATCAATAGCCATCATATCAACTTTTAGTCATTTTTTAAATAGTAAAAATAATCACAACAAGCAATGCCAAAATATCATATATTTAGTGCTGTGTAAATGAAGGATACATTTCCTGTTAACCTTTTTAAAACAGACTTTTATATTTTTATAATTATCATTCCTCATGTTTGAAAGTTTTACATGTATGTGTGTATATGTATATATACATATACACACACACAAACATATACACACAAGTTTGAAACTTTGAAGTGTCATAAAGCAAAAAGTGTCACCTTGGGGACTAAGATATTATTAACTCCAACCTTGGTGTTTTCAGTTACCTCATTGGGTTCAAAAGCTGGACAATAAGGAAGAATAGAGAAGAACTGAGGCATTGGGATTATTAGAGTTACTTAGCGTGCCCACAGGCACAGCAAACAAATCCATCTTGGGAGAAGTCCGGCCAGGATGCTCCTTAGAAGTGAGGGTGGAGAGACTTTGTCCATGTACTTGGACAGTCCCCAGAGAAGGGCATCGCTGGTACACAATGCATATGGATCAGAGGAAAAGAGGAGGGCCCTTGGTGAGAAACACTGGCTGCAACAATGAGCTTAAAGTTTTTGTGGATGGAGTAACTGTTGTGGCTAGTGCAGGACTCTGCAGTGCTCCATTCTGCTTTTTATAACATCACACAAGTCAGAAACAATGCAATGGGACACAGCAATGGTAACAGTAAGACATTTCCTCAATAAATGAAATAAGCTAAAATTCAATAGCAAAGAATTTGGGCCAATTATCCATCTCTTGGCTTACACAGAAGTTCAATAATTATCTCAAAAAGTCTTCACCTCCAGGGTTTGGCTCAAACCGAATCTCAAATCTATGTAAATTTTTTCAATTAAAAATAAAAGTGTGTGAAATTTCCAATTCAATTTATTGATAACAGAGTAGCTCTGCAGCCTAAGTAAATGAAATCTCCCTTTTACATAAATCCTGATTAATATCAAAAATATTAAAAATGAAATGGCTTTATTATATTTATTTATAACTTTTTCTCAGAAAACCAAATAAAATGAAAATATAACCACAGCATTCTCTATATTCTCAAAAAAACCTTAGTATAAATGTGCATGTATCTAACCCATTATTTCACTTTATAACTACCAACTCGACTCTATTGTTCTTTAAAGTTCATTAATATTTTTTCAATAGTAAAATGTACTTATAAAACCACTAATATATCTATTTTAAATCCCAATTACATGTTACATCAAGTGTTTCTGTAGTCACAATAGACAGTGTGACAACCAGGCGGATTCTTTAAAGCTTTCAGATAGTGTTAGATTTTCATAATAGTCAATGGGTAACCAACTACCCATTATAGTCAATGGATACCCAATGTACATTATAGTACATATTTCTGCCTTTCAATAATGTTAATGTTCACTGTCTCTTAGCTTTGTTTTTGGTATGTGTTGTGTAAGATAAGTATCAGTAAAAAGATTTATTTTAATACCTTTTGAAATACTACTTAAAAAAACTAAATCTTTGACAAACAATTCTGATTTTATTTGTTCTTGTTTTATACTTCATAATTTAAAAAAAAATTACTGTGGGTTAGATGAAGTTTCACAGTGCAGATCACCAGGTTTATATTCAACAATTTATATACATTTTGTTTCAGGTCATCTATAGTAATCCCTTCTATTTATCCTCAGTTACCCCACTTCCTTCCATTTCCATTCCTTCTTCTTTTGTACCCTTTGAATGTTGTCCATGAGTAAAAGCTGCCCTTTTGATTTTAAATGGTTGATTATTGTGACATAGTTGTGAATTCAGTTCCAGAACTGAAGGTGGACTAAGAGCCGTAATCTTGGGGTTCAATCAGTCTATATCACGTCCTTATACCTAGTCCCTTTTGATTTTGAGTTCTATTCCACATTTCCTTCCACTATATCCAGGAATCCTAATTTGATGTCTTTCAGAGTAGTCGGTAGTGGGAGTCAGGCACCATGTAGGTAGTCCAGTTTCATGGTTGTGGAGACGGATTAGTGTGGTCTGTTAGTCCATTGGATGAGTCATTTCCCCATGTCTTTCCATTTCATTCACTGTTGGATAAATAATTTGACTATTTCTATTTTGATAGTCCATATTTTGTTAGAATGCAGGCACATTGATATCTTATTCAATTTACGTAATGTAAAATAAACACCTTATGTTTTATCGTGAAAATGAATTTAAAGCATATAGAAATACATATACTGTGTATACTCGTGGATAAGCTGAGTTTTTCAGCACATTTACTAAGCAGTTTTTGTGGTAAAATTAGGTGCCTTCACTGGAGATCCCCTTGCAGAGGGATCTAGGGGAGGAGATGAGCCAGTCACGGTGCGATGTAACAATGATGAGAAATACAACCTTCCTCTAGTTCCTAAAGGTTTCCTCCCCGCTCCTACTACCATGACTC